ACAGACTTGTTGTGAGGGTCAAATGAAATATTTGTATAAAGCACTTAGCACAGTGCCTGGCACATAGTAGGTGCTATATAAATGCTTATTTCCTTCCCCCCCTTTCCTCTGACCTTACAGCAGCTAAGTGTTGGGATTTGAACTCAAAGTCAAAGTCCAGAACTCTCTACTACTCCATGTCACTTCTCTCAAAAAGTAGGGTTCTTCTGAACCTCTAGTATAAAACAGTGCCCTGAGGAATTGAGACACAAGATAATTATGTCTTGATGGCATGGAAGAATTAGGGAAGTGGGTCAACAGCGTTGAGAGGGGCAGTGGAGGAGCTGGGTGGCTAAGGGACTAACTATGAGCAAGGGATACTTTATCATGTGACTTAGGGAGGGGAGGTGTTATTGAAAGAGGCAGGAGAGATAATCCATCAATCAATAAACATTTGTGAAGCACCTACTATATGCCAGGCACTATGCTAAGCACTGGGGATACAAAAAGGGGCCAAAGGAGCTCATAACACTGCAAACCTATTTCATAATTCATCTCGTGTCCCAGTCATAGACATAGGCACAAAGTCATAGACTGCATTGCATAAAAGGAAGAACCCATCATGGAAGGAGATCATTTCTATAAAAGCCGATTGAATCAGCTCCTTCCATCACTGATGTTATGAAGGTCTCCATTTCAATGGCAATATTAGACTTTGGTCTAATATTAATAACTGGTCGAAGCTTGGAGAATTGGTGAAAGTCTTTAGGGAGGAATGTAGTTAGATGTTATTTATACACAAAGAAAGGAAAAGAAGAAAGGAAGGAAAGAAGGAAGGAAAGAGGGAAGGAAGATAGAAAAGAAAGAAAGAGAGAAAGAAAGGAAAAAGAAAATGAATATGCTAAGATACCCACAAGATGGCTGTGTTTAAGATATCCACAAGATGGCACTGCTGCTTGGACCTGCCTCACCATTTACTGAGCTTAAAATTCAATATAAATATATGACTAGCCCCCTCTGCTGGCAAAAAAAAAAGTGGAAGCTTTTTTTCTTTTAATTCTTTGCTCATATTTTGTATGCTCTGGTCCTTGAATATTTTTCACTCACTTACATAGTGGAGTTAATCGCTCAATTGAAAAGATTGGATAACCCACACATTCCCAGAAGACAACTGCACTTGAACATAAATAAGAAGTTAAGGATGACACCAAGGTTGTTATGTAGGGAGCATTTTTAAAAAGTCACTGAGCATTAGGTTAATGTTGGAAGAGGTATTCTTCAATTCAAGTTAATCCGGATGCTCTCGACTTCTAACTTGCATTCATCCCAAACATCCAATCTGTTACCAGGTATTGTTGTTCTACCTTCACAATATTTCTCACATTCTTGGTCTCCTGGTCTCAAGTCTCTCCTAACAACAGACCATCTTCTAGTCAGCTGCCAAAGAGATCTTCCTAAAGCGCAAGTCTGGCCGTGTCACCCTCCACCCCCCCCACCAATAAAGTCCAGTGGCTCCCCATTATATCCAAGACCAAATGCAAAATCCTTTGTTAGGCATTGAAAGCTCTTTAAAACCTAGCCCCTTCCTAATCTTTCAGGCTACTTACACTTTATTCCCCTTAGGTATTGACACTGGCCTTCTTGCTGTTCCTCTCATGGGATACTCCCCTACCCCTGCCTTTTCACTGAGTGTCCCCCATACTTGGAATGCTCTCCCTCCTAGCTTCGCTGGCTTTCTTCAAGATTCAGCACAAATCCTACTTTCTGGAAGAAGCCCTTCCTGGTCCTCTTACAAGACTATCCTCTCTGAGGTGAACATTAATGGTTAAGTATTTCTGAACCTAGCAGCCCTTTACGACTGACATTCATAAACTAGCCCAACTCATTTGTAATTTATTTGTATTAATTGTTTCTCCCATCTCTTGGCAGTAATGTCTATAATCTCATTGCCTACGGCATGAATGACTAACAGCCTGAATTTCTCACTCAAATTGCAAAGGGTGCTCCTTTATTGTAGTACTTCAAAATTGCTAATCAAGTTCCAAGGCCATTTTTACCTTACCTACACCAATTATGATTTTTTTTTAAATTTTGACTATATTCCTTTTTAGCTCTCACCTTAGGTAAGAGATAAATGGACAGATAAAATATACACATGTGTATATGTACATATACATATTTATGTTTATGTATATATATTATTTATATATATATATATATATATATATATATGTTTGAATTTAGCTTGACCTCCTATGGAATTTACTACTTCCTCCATTCACATTCTCATTCTAATTTCCCTTCTCTGGACATTCCAGGATATCCTTAGTCAAGTGTGAGGACCAGAGCATCATAAAGTAGTCCAAATGTGGTTGCATCAGAGTTTACGTTGATATTTGTTACAAATGTTCTAGGAAGTTTTCAGTTTTGTTTCCCAAACCTTTCCTCAATATAGCTAATATTGTTTTGTCCACTTTGGGTCGAGGAGCACATGGAGCCACTCTCCTTATGGACAAATCAGCAATGACTTGGGTATGTCTTCTCTTGATCAGGGTTAACAGATCAGAGTATTTCATTTTATACCCTAGAATTAATCCTCTTCCTCCTTCTTTACTACCTGGTGCCTAGGGCCACGTAGCTTGAAAGGATATATCCCGAAATGCAGTTATCTGGATGGATCAGAGAGTACATATAGGAGAATACTATGAGATAAGGCTGGCAACATAGGTTGGAGACCATATTATGGAAAACCTTGAATGTCAGAGTAAAGAGTTTGGAATTTTCTGTATTGACAAAAGGAATTTGAAGGCTTTTCAAGTAGAGGATAGATACAATCAGAGGTATGCTTTCATATGTGGCCCATGAATAAACTCTCATTCAACTATCCCACAGTACTGCCCCAGATAGTAAAATCCTGTGTTCTAATATGAAAGATTCATCGAAGTATTCATTTGTCTGAGCTCACAGTTTTAAAAGAACACCCAAGAGACTACACGGCTTAAGACACCAGTCCAACATCCTGACCAAAACCACTTCTCTGAAACATCCTTCCAAAGAAAAATAACCCAGCCTCCACAAAGCAATGGAATTTCATTCATTCTATATGAACACCAACTTCAAATGAAAATCTTTGCTCGCCCCCTCCATCTGATGCTACCTGAATATCTATCAAGTCTGTGCAGTAGGCAATGCTAAGTTACCCCAATTTTCAAAGATTCCATAGGTTAAGTGATCTAATTCTATGACCCTGTGGAGGCTCTAAAGAGGTCAATACTGTGGTATGACAAGCAAAAAAGATAATATAACCTTCAGTTGCCTTAATAGACTAGGGAGACAATTCAATCAGCCTTGGTCTGAGCACAATTTTGATGCTGTATTTAATTCTGGGCACAAATTTTTGGTAAATTGAAGAGTATCCAGAGGACTATGAGTAGAATAGTGAAAGGCCATGAGAACATATTATAAGGAACTAACAGAGTGATAGCTCTCTTTCTAGTATTTGAAGAGCTGCCACATTGAAGAGCAGACTCATTCTACTTGGCCAAAAGTGGACCAAAATTAGGAGCAAAGAATGAATGCTGTAAAGAGGCAAATTCAGACTTGAGGTTGGGGAAAACTTCAAAGTCAAACTTGCTGCCTCATTCCATAGCCACATGAATCCAAACTTCGATTCAGTCAAAGGGCAGCACTTGAGGACCTACAGGGCTGTAGGTTCCCCACCCTTGCTTTAGACAATGACTAAATGACCTCACGTACAGGGATAGTTTAAGTGAAATTCCTTTTCAGGTATAGGTTGAACTAGATGTCCTCTGAAGTCCCTCTCAACTCTGAGATCCTATAATTCTATAAGGCTAGCAATTAGCTTTCCAGGATTCCAGTTCAATGTGAATGGTAAACCATGCCTCCCCCCCCACCCCATCCCAGGGAAATTATAGGAACACAGGCCTAGAATTCATGAAAAACTGGAGTATCTTTACCAGTCGTCTTTGACTTTTCTATTTATTCATTAATTTAATCAACATTGATTCCTCTCCTGTGTGCAGAGCTCTGTGGTAGATGTTGAGAGAGATACAAAGTTTAGATAGGCTACAGTCCTTGCCCCCATAGAGCTCAGAGCCTGGTAGAGGGCTAGTATATAACTACAATATGGACTAATGCACAACAAGTGCTGCTCTGAGTAGTCTCTGGAAGAAGGTTGTTAGCAACAAGAAACACCAGGGAAGTCTTCATGAAATAAGCTTGTAATACTGGGGTGAGAGTTCACATGATGGCTGGGGCCCATTCATTAAATCAGGCCTGCACAATCTGCGGCCCGAGGGCCACTTGCAGCATGCCAAAGGATCTCGGGCAGCTTACGAAAAATGTAAAGGAAAACATCTCTACATTTTTCACAAGCCACCCAAAATCCTTTGGAATGCCCGCAGTCCGTAAGTTGCACAGGCCTGCACTAGATGAAGAGAGCAGCATTCCAAGCCCAGGGTACATTGTAATGGGACACCCCTAGCAAGGGAGAAGGAAAATAGAGAGTGGGAAGCTGTAGCACTCTCCTGCCTACTTCCAAAGGCAGTTTCTTGAGTAGTCCAGTGAGCATAAAGCGGATGAACACAGTATGAGCTACAGCTGGAAAGGTAGGGTGGTATAAGTTAATGGAATATCTAGGATGAGAGGTGAAGAAGTTTTAACTTTATTCAGCAGGCAATCATGACCTACGCTGAAATGAGTGTGCCTTGTCTATATTCCACGCCCTTGCAGGTAGGTGGAGCCATTAGATGACTGGGCTTGGGGTCAGGAGGAACTGAGCTCAAATGACCCTGCACAAGGTACTTAACTTCTGTCTGCCTCAGTTTCCTTATCTGTAAAATGGGATCACAATAGCACCTACCTCCCAGGGTTGCTGTGATGATCAAATGACTTAATAATTATAAAGATCTTAGCACAGTGTCTGGCACATAGTAGGCACTTAATAAATGTTTATTCCCTTCCCCCGGTTAGAGCAAGGTTAAAGGAAAGAACTCAAGACCTTTAGCTTCAGTTTTTAATACAAGACTAGATCGTGCCATTGGCCACAATAAATCTCAAATACAGTGTCAGTATCATTGCCAGACCTCTGAAGGACGCAGTCCCTTCTGCAGGACAGGGAGATATGACTCATCACCAACCCTCATTACTTCATTCTTTTCCCACTGCTGTTCTCTCAGACACCTCCCAAGCTGATGCTTTCACAAGAGACCTTCTTCCCCTCATTGCTGCTTTTTGGAGGGAAGTCTGGTCTTTCAGCCTTTAATATCAGAATGTAGGAGCTCCCTGCACTCTCCAAGCTAGGTGAGGAACCTAGACAGGTCTTCCTTGATTTCAGCTTCATCCCAAGGTCCGTGAATATTTTCTTTGAAAAGCTGCAAGCGGATGAGATAGTAAGGACAGAGGCAAGAGATGGAGACTAGCAGCAGGGCAAAGAGTATGGCCCCCACACCACTAATGGTTAACAGACCAGCCAGGGCAGAGAAAGCAAATAGCAGCGTGACCCCCACATAGCTGCGCGGGGTACAGGCCTTCAGCTTCTTCTGTAGCATCGGCCACAGGGCAAAGATCTGGATGGCAAATGTCACCATGATGAAGGCATGAAGGGATCGAGGTAGGCGGGAGGCCAGGCAGACGGAGGCAAAGATGGCCATGTTCAGGGAGAGGGTGCTAGACACAATAGCAGCATTGGCACCATAGTCAAAGAAGATAAGGTGACCCAAAAGCATGAAAACTGACATGGCATAGATAGTATCAGTGCTGACAGATTCCGTCAGTGTCTTCAACACCGGGGAAAAACCATAGGTGAACGTGATAAAGACCAGGGCACTCTTCAGGTCAGCCCACCGGGTGCGCCCACTCTTCTTCCGCCCTGCCCCTCCATCAATGAGGTCAAACAAGACATAGCCAATCAGGGAGGAAGCCAACCCAGTTCCAAAGAGCCACTGTGGTGCTAGCAGACCCTCATCCATATACCACCAGATGACCACAAAGACACAGACACTGCACAGCTGCTGTATCACCACCCCAGACTCAAAGACCACAGACCAGTACTGGTATTTCCGGGCAGAGATGTTTTTGCGGAGCTCTTCCAGGAACCTCTGGTCCACGTAGTTATCAGGGAAAGGCTGACGCTCATACAGCACCTTCTGCCACCCTGCTACTCTGGTGCTGGCCATTGGTTGTGAACACAGGCCCTTCTCATCCAAACACGGACTGGATTTAACTCTTGCCCATGAGTCATGTGCCCCAGAAGGGCTAGCTCTTCAGGAGGCTGTAAGATGTGCCCTCTCTGCAACCTCCATGCTCTTCTGTACCAGATGATTTTCTAGTCAATGTCCATTAGATGTTCCATTAGATGAACAAGGTCAACCAAATTTCTGAGGGGGGGGGGGAGAAAAGAAGTGTGGAGGAAGGGAAAGATAGAGAGAGACAAGACAGAGAGACAGAGAAAGAGAAGAGGAGAGAGAGAGAAGAGGGAGAAAGACAGAGAGTATGAAAGAAGAGGAAAGGGGTAGAGGAGGGAGGGAGAGAAGGAAGGAGAGAAGGAGAGAGAGAGAGAAGAGAAGAGGAGAGGAGAGGAGAGGAGAGGAGAGGAGAAAATCGGTTAATCTATGGAAAATAAAATCTCTGGAGATCAACCAAGAAAGAATTAAATATCCCAAATCAAATCTACTTAGCCAATTAAAGTTAGAATAAGGTATTACAACTTCAAAAACTTTCCAAGTGGCTTTTTTCTAACCACAGTACCTTGAATGCCGATGCCTATCTCTAAAGAGAGTAGAATGGAGGTGGTACAATGGGGGAAAGAGGGAAGGGAACAAGCATTTATTAAGTGCCTACTATGTGCCAGACACTGGGCTAAGCTTTTTACAAATATTATTTCCTATGACTTAGAGTCACAGGGCCTAAGCATGAATCCCATCTCAGCCACCACCTGTATGACTTGAGGCAAGTAATTTCACCCCTCTGATATCTCAACTAGTGCCAGAGGAGGTTGGGCTTGATGACCTCTCAAGTTCCTCCAGCTCTAAATCTCTGATGCTAACATATAAGACCTACAGAGCCAAACTCCTGTACACCAAAGGGGTCAAACTCAGGGCCCACTCAAGCTGCCAAGTCTCTCAACCAGATTAAAACGGACTTGGGAAATGTTGAACAAAATAAATAAAACCCCACACGACACAGTGTTCATTTGTGGTTTTCTACGTCACGAGGGTTTCTATGTGGGTTTGACACCCCTGCTCTAAATCATATTGAGCTTTATAGGACCCCAAATCAGTGTGACAGACACTAGGAAATTGCAGGAATATAAACCAGAACTAAAGAAATACTGCTAAATAAATTACCACTATCATCTTTCCCTAAGTCCTTTTCCTTTTTAACTAATATTTATTCCTCACCTACTGTGTGTTAAGTGCTGGGAAAGAAATCAAATTTTGATAAGATACTATAATCTAATAGGGTCATAAGCTATAGAGAGATAAGACTTTTTGCTCAGAACAGAGTCAAAGAATATTCATCTGTCAACTGAGTCAGAGGTTCTTTCTTTCTTTTCTTTTTAAAAATAGCTACGACCCTTTCATATCTGCAGTACTCCTGTAAAGGTGCTGTGAGTCTCATTTAATAGATGGGGACACTAAGGATCTGAAACTTGCCCAGGGTTCCACGTCCAAACTGGAACGACACCTTAAAATTGCTAATTCCTCAGCCCTTGGAGGAATATGTATCCCCTCTGTGGGGATACATCTGTGGGGGCAGAATCTCTGACATCATCAGTGGCAGCAAACTGGAGACCCCTAGGCAGATTTCTTCATGTTGTAGCAGGGTCTCCAGACTCCCATACGATGGCAGAGAAGGGGGCATCATCACCCATGTTCCACACTAGTTCCACTGCCACATACTACAGTGGCAGAACCACCCTAATTAGGGTGGTCAGGTAGGCCTGAAAATAAGGAGATCTGGGCTCTGGCCTCACCTCTGCCTATAATTAGGCGTATAACCATTCAGGTTATTATTCAGATATCTATTAACCATTCGGTTTCTTCTTCTATACAATATGGGCATTAAGTTGAGTGACCTCCAAGCTCCATTCCATAGCTAAGATCCTATGACCCCATGAATTTCTCATTTGACCTCAGCTGAGGTGCTCAGAGTCCCAGTAGGTTCTGCTTTCTAACCTAGGAGGGTAAATACCATTACAACCTACTCTCACCCTGAGAACTATGTACTTCTCTAACTTGAATAGTTTAGGAGGGAGGCAACTTAGGATAAAAAACCAAAACCTTAGACTTGGGAGTCAGGGGGCCTGGGTTTGAATCCAGCCCTGTCACTTATTAAATGTGTGAACATGGACAAGTTTCTTCATCTGTAAAATGACAACCGCAGGACTTCAAAGAAAGCATGGATGTGCTGGAGCCAGCTCATTCAGGCCCAGGAGAGCTGACTGTTAAACTTTCAGCATGACCTTGGAAATTGGGAAACACTACAAGTGAGGACTTGATTTGTTTTGTGCTTTGATTAGACTTTAGAAAGTGATGGGCAGAAGGTTAATAGTGCAGATTAAACTTAAAAGTGTCCTATGCATACTTTTTTTCTTGGACAGTCAGTTGTTAAACATTTACTAGTACATCCCTACTTCTAAGATACCTTCCTGTTCTAAATCTACAGTTCCAAAATCCTAGGGGTAGTGACAAGATCAGGATCTAACACAAGTAAGCTTTTACATAATGGAAGGTGTTCAGGTTGTTTGTTGTTCACTCTTTCTGACCACATTTGGGGTTTTCTTGGCAAAGATACTGGGGTGGTTCGCCATTTCCTTCTCCAGCTCACTTTACAGATGAGGAAACTGAGGCAAACAGGGTTAAATGACTTGCCCAAGGTCATACAACTAAATAAGCATCTGAAGCCAGATTTGAATTTAGGAAGATGAGTCTGACTCCAGGCCCAAGGTATTCAGGACTTGCCACAAATAAACATTAACATGATGCTTAGCAATTAAATCAACCCTACCCTACTAAAAGCACAGAACTTTGGTCTGTGAGTGTACACTGAAAGAAATTTTTAAAAAAACCTGAGATTAATTTCAAGTAGGTTGGAATGATTTATTAAGCATTTTTAAGGTTTGGCAATCCAAAGCAAGATGTGCCTATCTTATTTTACGAAAGAGATGTGTCTTTGGAAAGCTGTCAGATGTCTATCCTGAAATAGCCTGCTATTCTGGTGATTCTCTAACATGGAAAGTCACAAAAGAGACGCCAGACTGAACTTGACCCATAACCACTGTGTTGTCCTCCAACCTACCTGTTTTTCTACATCCCCATTTTCACAGACTGTAAACCAGTCACTTAACCTCTGCGAGCCTCCGTTTCCTCCTCTGTAAAAAGGAGACAGTGATAGATCACTATTCCGCATTTCGCACTCCGTAAGCCCCAGAGGGACCTTGTCGCAGTGTTCTTAGGCTGCAGGGTCCGGGGCCCGTCCGACTCAGTGCAGACACTGCTCGGTGCCCAGGCTCCCCGACTGCAGCCATGAGGGGCCTCTAGGGGGCAGTGTGGCGCAGGCCACAGCGGGGCTAGGTCTACGACGAGGATGGAGTACCGGAGGGACAAAGCCCCACCCCCACCCCGACCCCGCGCTCCCAAAGGGCTCACGCGCTCTAACCCGGGAGAGCCCAAACGAGCTGAACAGGGGGTCAGCGGAACGTCACGGGAAGCAGGGGAGGGAGGGGGAGAGGCCTCTACAGAAGGGAGGGTTAGAGCTCAGACTCCAAGGAGCATGCACTCTTTAAGACGTGAGGATTCAAATCCCGCTTCGGTGGCATACTCCGCGGGTGACATTACTCGGTCCCCCGGGCCTAAGTTTCCCCGATACTATAAAACGAGCAGATTGGACTAAACGGCCTAGAGACGGAAGTCGCGTCCCCACCCGGAGGAGGAACGCTAGGGAGGGGGAGGGGGAGGGGCTGGCCTCCCTCCCTCACCTTCCCGCCTCCCAAGATAGACGACCCCCTCCCGCCCTGCCGCCCGACCCCACCCTCGGGTCCATAGGGGCTGGGCGGTGAGGGGGCGCCCGCCCCACCCCCCCCTACCTGTGGGCCCGGCGGAGGCTCCTCCCCTCGGTCGCGGCCAAAGCCACGTCCTCCAAACTCCTTCTTGGGACGGTCCGAGGGCCGCGTGCGCAACCGCAGCCTCCTCCGGCACGGCGGCCGCGGGGATGCTGCTCTCCGGCGCCCCCTCGTGGAGGAAAGGAAGAAGGGCAGGCCCGCCTGTGTGCGGAGCGCTGGGCCTGCGTGGGCAGCGAGAGCCCCTGCCCTCGAGGAGCTTACGTTTCAACGGGGAGGCAGCACGCACGCTACGTATGTAACACACACACGCACGCATATGTCCGGGGTGGGCCAGAAGTCTCGCTGGCGTTTTAAGCTTTAGCAGGCTAAATAAGCTTGTGGGTGTGTGTTTTATGTGTGGGTGTAAATGTATGTACGTCCATGAGCTTTAATACCCTAAAACTGTACCACGACTTTGGGGGACGCTATACCCACACAAGGGGTGTGTGTGTGTGTGTGTACATATACATATCATCTGTGCCACACGTGGTATAGATACCACATGTTTCTTATCTGCCCCATATAGATTATCTGTACAGTATACATACGTATTTTAAATGACGGCACAGAAAGGGGTCAGGGAAAGCCTTCCTGTAGAAGTGGGGATTTTAGCCGAGACTTGAAGCCAGGATTCAAAGGTGAGGAGGGAAATTGTGCCTAAGATTTGCCACCCACCCCTTGGGCCTTCTGGTGAAGCCTATGGGGTCCCTGCGTAGAATTTTTTAAGTGCATAAAATACATAAGATTAACAAAAATTCATTTAAATACTGTTGTTAAATAATGGGGTAAAAAAAAAAATCAAAGACCTCAGTTTAAGATCCCCTGGCCTAAGTTCACACTGGCAGTAAGGGAATCAAGATTTGAACCCAGGTCTGCTGATCCCAGAGTGCCTTCCACTGCACCAAACTGCCTCCCTCCATAGATAATAAAGGATTCCAGACATGCTTCTCCTTAAAAGACAAAGGGCATATGAAATCAGGCACTACAGTTGGAGTATTGATAGTAATAGTTGATATGGGTATGGATGGAGTTTTAAGGTTTGCAAGCACTTTCCATGGATTTTCTCATTTGATCCTTGAAACTGTCTTGTGAAGATTGTATACATTGCCTACATCATAAAATGTTAAACCTGGACGGACTTTAGAAATGGCCTTATAGAGCCATCCCCCAATTTATAAATGGTTACAGGTTATGTAAATAGGCAGTTTTCAGAGGAAGAAATCTAAGCTATCAATAACCATATGAAAATATACTCTGACAACCATCAGATTATCAGAGCTAACCCCCAAAAAAGGAAATGGCAAATATGCTGGAGGGGTTATGGGAAAACAGATAACACTAATGCACTGTTGGTACAGCTGTGAACTAGTCCAGCCTTTCTGGAAAGTAGTTTGGAACTATGCCCCAAAAGTTATTAAACTGTGCATAGTTTTTGACCTAGTGATACCACTACTAGGTTTATACCCCCAACTAGATCCAAAAAGGAGGAATACATATATATTCCATTTATGTATAAAAATATTTATAGCAGTTCTTTCCACCATGACCAAGAATTGGAAGCTGAGAGGATAGGTACCTTATGTGTCATCTGGTCTAACTTTCTCATTTTACAGGTAAGGAAACTGAGGCTAGAGATGGTAAATGACTTACTTGAGGTCACACAACAGCAAATGGCAAAGCCAGGATTCAAACCCAGGTCCTCTCCCCCAAACCAGCCTCCTTTGTTTTGGTGGCTGCAGGGTAACAGAGAGTTATCTTGACTAGAGTTATGACTTCAGTCTAATGCTAGACTAGTGAGTTAGTTGGTCAATCAATCAGTGAACATTTACTAAGCACTTACTATGTGCCAGGCACTGTGCTAAGCCCTAAGGATAGGAAAAGAGGCAAAAGACAGTCCCTGCCCTTGAAGAGATCATAATCTGATGGGAAAGACAACAAGCAAACAGGTATGTACAAACGTGTATAAGAATGAAAAAGAAATAATCAACAAAGGGAAGGCATTAGAATTAAGAGGGGTTGGGAGAGCCTTCCTGTAGAAGATGAAATTTTTAGTTGGGCCTTTAAGAATACCAGGGAAGCCAGGAGGGATAGATGGGGAGGGAGAGTGCTCCAGGCATGGAAGACAGTGGGAGAAAATGCCAGGAACCAAGAGATGGAAAGTCTCACTCATGGAACAGGCAGAAGGCCAGTGTCACTGACTTGAAGAATACCAGCAAGGAGTTAGGTGTAAGAAAGGAGGTGGGGAGGGGTAGGAGGGGTGGTTATGAAGGGCTTTGAACACCAACCTGAGGGTTTGGATTTGATCCCGGAGGCAATAGGGCACCAGTAGAGTTTTTGAGTAATGGGAGAAGGACCAGTGACATGTAACACTAAGGCTGGAATTCAGAGAGACCTGAGATCCTTTCCTGGCCCCTCTTTAGGAAGTGGGTTAATCCTGGGCACACTTTTAAATCTCTCCTAGCCTCGTTTTCTCATTTGCAAAATGGGGACTTTCATTACCTACATCACAGAGTTGCTGGGAGGAAATCACTTTGTAAGCTTCAAAGTAGGACAGAAATAGGAGCTTTTATTATTCAGTATAACAAGTTCTGAAATTTAACTAGGCTTGCTTCTTCCTCTCCAGATTCCTTTCAAAGTTCCCATCATAAAGTATGACACAAGAGACCTCTTTCCCAGCTTGGTGGGAAACAAACCCTTGGTCATCACTCTTCGAAAAAGGTAACAAGCTTAGCCACTGAAGGATTGAAGTTTCAAAGGCTTCTAAGGAAGTTTCGAAGGCTGTGGTGATCAGATGGCTGACCAACCCAGCCTTCTCAGCTGTTATCTAGCCCAGTGGCAAAAATGTCTTGGAGGATAGCAATATCTAGTAAATCAATGATTCTCAAACTCTCTGGGAGGATTCTAATATTCTGCAGATCATATATAATATTTCAGTGAGAACCCTTCAATGCTAATATTATTTCTAAAATATTAAATATGAAATATCTAAAATATATTATTACAAATTAAAATAGAAAATGAATTATAGAAAGTAAAATATATGAATATTAAATATAAAAGTATATATCAAAATTATATTTTACATTATTTATTACATCTTTCAGCATGGGAATAGGTTTAGTTTCCTCTATTTTACTCCTCAAATTCCTTGACCTACCTCGTTCCTCAGTTTATACCATATCCTGGGCTAGCATTTATGGATTCTGTGATTGTATTCCAAAACCTCAAATGTTTTCATGGCCAAATTAGCTTGGGAAGTGTTACAATAGACCAGAGAGAGTGTGGTGCCTGAGAATCAGGAATTGTATCACTGGGGCCAGAATATCTTGATCTAGGTTCTATATTCCCATTTGCTACTTTGTGCTAAAAATGTTGCTCTGTCTAACATAAATGCACTATATATCTAGATGTACAGGCTTACCTAGAATCATTGACACCTAATTCTCTAAGCACATGCTCAGGGAGTGAAGCTAAGACCTACCTGGCTGGTTCTTTGCCCTGGGAATACAAACTGATTGGCCAGTATTTTCAGACAAGTGGTAGGAGTGGTGGCAGATCTCTTGAGGATAAATTGAGGAAACTGAAACCCAGCCAGCCTTCTCCTCTGTCTTTACCACTCATGTCCCCCCAGAAGCAAATTCCTTTCTCTGAAACATTTCAGGATGTCCTTCTTTTTCCTGGTTAGTATGTATAGAGTAGATGTGTAGAGTACAGAAGAATTATAACCTCCCTTTATCTGAACATTATACTTTTATTAACATAGCTCAAGATTACATTAAGGGTTTTTTTTGTTTGTGGTTTATTTGGTATTTTTTGGCCACTGCATCACACTATTGACTTATATTGAACTCTCAGCCAACTAAAATCCCCATGTCTTTTTCTCATTAATAGTTTCTAGTCATGATTCGGCCATTTTATACTTGTAAAGATGCTTTTATTTTGTCGTATTTTTTCATTGTCTTTATTTTTATTAATTAATTAATTAATTTTTAGTTTTCAACACTCACTTCCATAAGATTTTAAGTTCCAAATTTTCTGCCCCTCCCCTCCACTTACCCAAGATGGCATGCAGTCTGATATAGGCTCTACATATACATTCATATTGAACATATTTTCACATTAGTCATGTTGTGAAGAAGAATTAAAACCAATTAGAGAAACCACAAGAAAGAAGAAACATAAAAAAAAGAGAGAGAGAGCAAATAGTATGCTTCAATCTGCATTCAGACTTCATAGTTCCTTTTCTGAATGTGGATAGCATTTTTTTATCATGAGTCTTTTGAAGTTGTCTTTGATCCTTGCATTGCTCAGAAGAGGTAAGTCTATCAAAGTCAGTCATCACACAGTGTGGCTGTTACTGTGTACAATGTTCTCTTGGTTCTGCTCACTTCTTTTGTTGTATTTAAAAAAAAACACAAGTAGAATAATTCAAAATTTTGGTCCATATCTATGATTTAATTGGCATAGAGAATTCTAAGCAAGGAAGTTCCCTTAGTATGTACAGATCAGGAATATTTTACAGTCTATCCTGCATTAGAGAATTACCTAGAACACTTGGAAGTGAAGTGAGCCAGTATGTGTAAGAGGTAGAGTCTGAACCTTGGTCTTCCTAAGTGTTCTGAATATGGCTCTCGAGTCACTATGCCCCATTACCTCGAATTCATATTTATGTTTATTAAATCTTGTTTTATTCGACTTGGGTCATTGCTCTAGCTAGCCTATTGAGGCTTCCTAATTCTCTCATTCAATATATTAACTTCCCCAGCTTCCTCAGAAAAATCAGATAATCATTCCATCTATATCTTTGTCTAGGTTACTGGGATCATTTGTGATTACAACATCTCTTTCTTGAGAATCTTCCTTCTCTCTGGAGCCATTTTTTCTTTTAAAGTATCTGGCCTTAATGCCAGTCTTTCTCTGAACACTTTGAGCTCTGCCCTCCTAAAATCTAGGGTACTTGTTTAGCCAGATCCATCTTTCCTTACAAATATTTAGTAACCTGTTCTAGAATTTTGTCTTGATCTACATCTAACTCACTGACCTGTACTAACAGAATATAATTTCTTTCTTTTTTAAAACATCAAGACATTTGC